TATATGAGATCTTAAAACATGACTTCACCCTCGATCACTCAAACTTCTTGACAAGACGCAAAATTCTCTTTTTATTTATTTTTTTTTTTTTTTTTTAATAATTTGTTGTCTTTCTTTTTCGTCCAATGATATATCTCAAAAAAGAATACAAGGTTACAAAGTTAGAGAGTGACAACTCGAGAAAGTCAATTAAAGTGACATATGTATAAAAGCAATTATTATATCGTATATAACGCAGAAAAAAAAGACCATTCGGTATTAGAAATAATAGGGGCAGAAACGATAAAATGTACATTTGAATAATAAACGCTATAATCATCGTCATTGCCTCTCCCACAACTTTCTTTTGCCAGTTTTAATAAAAATAATATTATTTCTTTCCTAATGTAATAAGAAATTACTTTGCTTCTCGTCTAATTTGCATTTAGGATGAACAATGTGGTGCAAAGACGAAAAATGAAGTAAAATTTGTGTGTATCCAATTTTATAACACACATATATCAACGTACAGTGATCGATAAAATGCAAACAAGAGAGAAATCAAATATAAACCGCCAGTAAATAATTTACAAGAAAAGAAAAAAAAAGTTAAATACCAAATATAAATAAAAATAAAAATATTTAACGTATGATATTGCAAAAAGTATAAAGCTGTTCTAATTAATTTCTTGATAATAATCGACATTTTAAAATAAACGGATACACATTGATAATGGACTATAGTCACCGTAATAATAAATTATTGAAAATAATTTCATTATTCACGAAGAGGTCTTAATTAATTCATTACTTTATAATAAGTTCGGATAATATTCATTTGTTTTGTTTTTTTCCTTATACGAAAGACAAAATGTAACGTGTATAAAATATGAGTGCAACCTTCTTGCAAAATATCGATCTAAACGTATGACGACAATTTTTCTATATAAAAACGTAAATATAAGAAATTTTATACAAAAGTTTATTTTTCGATAGACATAAGATATTAATTTCATAAATCTTTGTTGAATTAATTACAGAATGAACGACGAATAATTCGATCATCGATTAATAACAAAATCCACCTCGATGGGATGCACTCACATAAGAGAGAAGCAATATAATAACAATACTAAATTTATTATAATATTTGTACGTAGTATGTACGTGTGTAAATGTGTGTATACCTGTGTTGTGTGTTTAGTGTATTAAAATGAAAACCAAAAAAAAAATAATAATAATAATGAATCTACGCGTTGTTATATTTCGAAAACAAACACAATAAAATTTTAATTGAATTTTCTTTTCATTCTTTTTTTAATAATAGCTTTCTCTCTTACTCTTTCTCTCTCTCTCTCTCTCTCTCTCTCTCTCTCTCTCGCTCTCGCTCTCTCTCTCTTTTTTTCGTATAAGCTTTCATTAAGAACTTCAAGAAGTTGGTCCGATCATAAATACAATTTCTTGTTTTAATTATTCATTTTTAATTAGCACATTTAATATAATCAATATAAAATTTCTACTATAATGTTAGAAATAATCATAGCACGTACATCTAATTTATAATTTGCCAATATAATACATTACAATTTAGCAAGCAGTTTAAATAACGTAAAAAATATATAAAATAACAGAATCAATTAACACAGAACACTTATTTCTCGTTCATACTAGTTCTTTTTTTTTTTGTTTGTTTTGTTTTTTCTTGTAAGCAATTCTTTCACGAGACACATAGAATAAGGCACATTTCTCTGCCCACGAAAGGCACTAAAATACCATGGCTATACGTGTCTCTCGTATAAAGTTAATCATTAAATTTGTTTGTATTAGAACTTGAATTAAACGAAGAGAAGAGATCAGTTTAAAACAAAATACTATTTATCCGTCAACGATTATTGTGCACCATAATTTGTACATATACGGCTGGCTTCCGGCGAATCTATCTTCTCTTCTAACTTCACAATTTTTGGCATTAATACATTATTATTATTCCTTTTGTTTCTTCTTCTCTTTTTTTGTTTTTTTGTTTCTTACTTCCAAATTAATTATTACCAATCTCAGCAGAAAAGATGGATTATTTGTTATACTTGACGTTAATATTACGTTAATATTACTCTTTCCTTTACGTTAACATCTCTCATCTGTGCTTTCAATTCTCACCAGGAAAAATCTTTGATACATTGAAAAATAAGATCCCTGAGGTTTTTCAAAACTTGACCAACAAATTATAAATGACTATGCAAAAAACATTCTGAGGAGGGGGGGGGCTAATACCTTTGAGTAACATTTGAAAACTTTTCTATTTTTTGTTTTTGTCTTTTCTTTAGAAATGTGCTTTAATAAAAATTGTTCTTTTCTTGTTTATATATTAAAAAATATAAATATGTTTATTTTGATGGAAAAACAGATTCGCGTAAATTAGGACTAAATTAATATCCTGTTTATCCGAAAATGGCTTGGCTTTGCTTAGCTATTAAGAAGTAAATTGGTTTTACAGATTTATATAATAAGCGACGAAAGAACCAACAAAATTATTTGATTTTAATGATAAAATGCATCTTAACATTAATGCATGATTGCAAATATTACAAATCCGTTAGAACATTTTAATATTTCATAATAATGATTAGATAAAGAAAAAATTAACAGATCACAGTTTTGTCGATTGCTTGACTACTTTTTTTTATTCAACCTCCACGTAAACTATATATATATATATATTGGAAATATGATTTTTTTTTCTCAGTGAATACCGTCGAATCTCAGCCGACAAGATCGTTTGAACTTTTTCCTTATTTATTGTTTCATTTGTTTTGTGACATTTCATGGAACAATTTAAAAACACGCACCTGTGTCATCTTTTTGTTTATTATTCGATTATGCAATGCTGATGGGGGCTTCGAAAAATGACACGAGAATTTGAATTTAAAATCAAATAGCTTTCTTCGCAGTGATATCGTCGATTCGCATGAATATTTTCGTCACATGGACGACTGTGATCATTTTTCGTCGTTCAAATTACGATAGAGGCACCTTTATGTTTGTGTTTATTATATTATGACTTGAACGTTACTTTGTTGTCATCGTCGTCCGCGATAGAACTCTCTCTCTCTCTTTCTCTCTCTCTTTCTCTCTCTCTCTCTCTCGTTGCTACTTCCTGCGAGGAAAACGTACAGGGATGGCTTGATGGCAGGAAAAAGGAAGACGGGACTAGTAGTACCCATTTTCTACCTTATTTAGACTCTATGCGATTTAAAAAGAAAAAAAAAACAGATTTAATTAAAATCAAACAAAAATGATAAAAATAATTGTGTACAACGCTCGTAATTCGTCGTTTACTCACACATTCCATCATGTCAAATCGATCAAAATGGCATGGTTGTTCTATCGCGATATTTTATATTTAAAATTTCATTTTTCGTTTTGTTTTTCTTCCTTCTTTTCAAACATATTTTGTCGATTCGTTCTAATTAAAAAGAAAAGAAAAAAAAAAAAGAAAAAAATTAATCCAATGTGATTTCATGAGCTCCACAATACGCATAAGAGGGACGTTAATTATCACGTATGAATTTTGGAATTGAATGTCGACGTTTACGTATTGTACTACTGGATGTTCGTTGTCAACTTGGGCCCTTACAATTTCTCGATTTAATTTCTCTCATGGCACACGTATTTTTCTCTTTTTTTTTTTTATTCCACTTGAATTCAATGTATTATTACACATAACTGACATACCTCGACAAAATCTCGACTTGTGCTCGGAAACTAAATCAGACTCGAATCTTTTAAAATTAATGAGAAAAAAAAAGTATTAAAAAAAAAAAAAATAAAGAAAAGAGAAGAGAGAAAAAGAAATACATCAAACAACTATCTATAAAGATTACACAATAATAATAATAATAATAATAATTAGCAGCGCGCGAAGACACGAGGATATATGCAAATTGGAAGAAGAAAAAGAAGAAAGGATGAACAAAACAGGAGAGAAGAACGATCGATGCTAATAAAGAAATTAAAATTCCAACTCTCTCTCTCTCTGTTTTTCTTTCTCTTACACAAATATACTAACCTTTAAAATAAAATAAAATAAAATAAAATAAAATAAAAAAAATTATTGATTTCGCTCAAAATTCGATAATCTTATCTCACGGGAATATTGTATCGTACGTACGGTAGAAGACCCATAAATTCCCAGTGCTGCTCTCCTATTTTGTTATCTATCTCTATTTCTATTTCTCTTTCTCTTTCTCTTTCTCTTTCTCTTTATATATATATGTATATGTATACCTGACGAAACATATATAATTAATGAATAAAAATTTAGTTTATCGTACAATTCGTTAGATCTGTTGTCTTTATGTTAAAAAAAAAAAAAAAAAAAAAAAAAAAAA